AGTCAGTGTCAGTGCTGCACTATCCTCAATGCTGATGCAGTTTTCCTCATTCCCGACACTGCTCCTCAATTTTTACTCGTTTCCTCTACCAGTTCTTTGTCTCCACTGCCCGCACCCATCACTCCTGAAATAATCATGCTGCACGAGAAAACTCTGATTTCCTAACGCAACACAGCAGTTCTGCCATATATCCAAAGCAAAACTACCTACGCACAATTCCGTGGCAAAAACTTCCTTTTGAATGAAACTTCACGTTATTTGATTCTTTCGGTTCCTGCTTTTGAGTGAAAATTAGTACCCGGGATCAGAAATCATGATCTGCCTCATGTTCACTCTTTACGAGGGATGAAAGCACTCTGAAAGTACCTTGTGCCAAAAACAGTAGGCAAGATTATTGATGTTTTTTGCTCCGGAATTTTTTAAAAACTATCTGATGATGGTTTTGAAACCACCCTGGCATAAACTTTCCGCTAGCTTGTCAGTGAAACGAATCAAATCCAGTCATTAGTCATTACAAGAGAATTTAGCCATGGATCTGCCGACTTCCAACTAAATCGAACAAAAGTGCACATTTCCAATTTTTTTTTTTTTTGAAAAGGAAAGGAAAAAGAAGTCCGAAACAAGCACATTTTTAGTGCTCTATGCATGGTAGAGAAGCGATGCTGTTGCTAACCATCCACATTAATCAGATTTATAACGGTCTTTTTTTATGACGGTCCAGTGTCCGGTAAGTTTTTAAGTTATTATGTGTTTCTGTGTGTAAGAAACATTAGTTATTCCTGATCTGTCCATAGAAATAGTCGTTGCAAAATTTTCAAACCAAATTTTTTATAAAAATTTTTGGGGTTATTTTTGCTATGGAGTTTTGTGTGCTTTTAATGTTTTCCTTAAAACCCTTACAGTTTGCTTCGAAAATATTGTATATGAACAAATTGTGAGGTACAAACGATAAACTGTCGTACGCAGGACGTGATAGCACAAGAGTTCGGACAGGTAAGAGAGAAGGGGAGTACACAAGGGCGAAGAAGTCGCTAAATTATGCTTTCCTAATAAAAACGTATGGCGAATTTTCATCTCCCTTTCCCCGCTCACCCCAAATTTCATTATCATTTTAAATAATTTTATTCTATAATATTAGGGTAGATTAGGGTGAATTACTGGGATAATCTCTCATGCGCTTGAAGCAGTTATGCCATAATTACAGCAATAATAATAATAAAAACAACAATAATAGTAATAACAATAATAACTATACAATGATAACAATAATGATAGTTAATTCATAATGATAACAACAGTTAGTTTTAAAACTGTTAGTTACGGAATAAAAGAAGTGTGTCACAGTGTGATTCTTAAAATCCTCTCAAACTTCTCTCATCCTGATAAAGAATTTTCGAAAGTTGCCTTTTTGGAATAATATTCTGGCACAGTTGACGGTCATCCTTACATTATCCCATCGAAGTTTACATTTTGCTAAAAAACTTGTGCACAACAAAAGCATTGTCCTACATTATCTGTTTAATGGTTTTTTAAGCAAAAAAAGGCCAGAAAATTGAAGCTTTGCACAGAGGACAAAGTGGTGATGGGTGCCAGCATGCACGGTCACTGGCAACTTTCTTGATGTTTGAGCAATGATGCATGCAGTGGAACAGTTTTTCGAATGTGTCTCGGGACCGGAAAACTCGCCGCCTTGCTTCCCAAGGGAAATGCAATTTCTCTTTGGCTGTTGTTATTTGTCATTTGTGAATTTTGCTTCCAACAACTATAATTGAGCTACATTTTCATTTTTTTTTTGCTTTGTTACATTCTAGTTCTATCATCCATGAGTTTTGTATATATAAATTCGATGATAACGGGACTTGAACTTCATAAGAACCTTTCATTTTCAGCATCCTTCTGGTGGGAAATTAAATTGTTGGATTGTATGAGAAAAGACGCCGCAGGAAGAACAGTTAGAGACAGAAGCAACAGGAGATTAGCTTATTTTGAAGGTTTTTTTTGTTCATAAGTAAATTTTCCTTCCAGGAAAGCTAAATCGATGCGTTTAGCTCCCAAATGTATGCTGTAAATTAGAAAAGGCAAAGGCCCCAGATAAATTTGACATTAGATTTGCAGGATGATGTTTTTTCCCTTCCTTATTATTTGCGATGGCATACATACATCGAGGCTATTTGGAAGGTTCACATAGTTTGCCGGGCGTGTGGAATCATCCCAGTAAAAGCACTCTACTGAGTCGCTGTCCATGAACTTAAACTACACTAGTTATTACAGTTTTACAGCTGCTAAATGAATTTGTTTACGAATGAATTTGGACACTTTTCGGTTCTTTCATTCCATCATCCCCCGAAACTTCTGGAACGTAAAATGGATGGGCCAGAAGGGCTTTGTTTTTACTATTTCTGAATGATTTTCGGGAAAACTGAGGGCTCATGGATTGGCGATGCATATGTGCTAATCTTTTTTTTTGACATTTTACCGGTTTTCTGCGGGAGTTTCTCAATATCTCATCCCGGGGAGCATCTTTAGTCGTTTGTATGCATAGCATTATGTGCATTTTCCTCCTCAATATTTGACAAATATCATCTTGGCCACAGCTACCGTTACAAAATTAATTTTTTGATTGTTGATGTTTTGCATGATGGATGAGTTACATACATTTTTGTGTCATGTAAATTCGCTGCTGGTGACAAATTGCTTCGCTCTTCTCGTTTCCTACATGTCACTTGATTTCCTGTACAAATTCGTCAGGCCAGCTCCTCATTTTTGGTGGTTTTGTTTCCTTTGCCTATTCGAGCGATTAGTCACAGCCGCAAGAATGAAACTGAAATTTATCACCGTATGCTTAGATAAATTTCAACAGCTCTATTAAAATTTCTGAAAATCGCGGAAAAGTATTTTCAGTGGTGCTCAGAAAGCTGAGATTACTCAAAACTACATTGTGGAGCCTTCGGTACCAACGGCGCACGGACCCGACAAGTGTTGATATTTCTCCGCTGTAATCCTGGATGGTATTTTTAGTGTGTGATCCTGCATGGATATCATGTTTCTCGGATTCCGAGATCGAAATGGTATTTGCTGTTTAGAAGTGGTACGTACTTACTGATAGATAAAGAGCGCACATTCAAATTTTTCCTAAACCTTATTCAAATTAATCATACCGGGAAGTAATCATGAATGGACACACAAATGGCTTTATTAAGAATAGCCAAAGCATTTGTGTATAATTTGTTCTGTCTGATCAAGAATTTTTTGGGGTAGAGGAGATGAATGAGGGTGGAAAACATCAGCTCTGGCTGTCCTGGAAAATTTTGGCTTATTTGGCTTGCGACAGACAAAATAATTATAAATAAAAAAATTATTTTTTCTGTCAGTTCTGCTATAGTCGCATCATCGCCAGTATTTTCAGTTCCTTCAGTAAGGACACCCGTTCCTCTAGCGATTCATTCTTTCAAGTCATTTTGAGTATTTTTGCTTTTTCTTTTTCATTTTTTAGCCTTTGATTAATGTTCACTTATCGGTTTTGGTCGGCGTTATGAATGCCATTTAAAAACTGAATAAAAATGGCTAACAGTGAAATGCAGTGGATATGTACGAAGAGTGAAAATTAAGCATATATGAAAAATAATAATTTGGCTTCTATTAGGGAGATTCGGCCAGTTAAGCTGCGTACATCTTAATAAAAATTTAAACGATATTGTTTCATAAATTTAATATCAAAATTAATATTTGAATAAAAAGTAATCAGCTGAACAGAAATGTCTCGGTCCATTAAGTCGCACATATTTTTATTTAGTTATGCTTTGATAAAAACTGCATGTGAGTTGGCATTTTCTTCTCAATGTCTCCATTGTACTAGCTGTTTTAATGGAATTGAAAAACCTCTGTCGCTGCTTTTTCATTACTTAAATGCAAAAAAGTGCTTAAATGCAAAAATAGTGGCGTAAAAGGGCAAGTCTTCCGGCTAGTATGTCAGGATCTTGCGAGTAGGTTAGCAGATTTCAGTTGTTGGCATTTGCTTGGTTTGGTTAGCCTAATGATCCGCTGAAGCAACCCTTACAGAGTCCTAAAATCCAGTTATATCTTCTCTCCGCCAGATACACAAATCCTTTTAAAATTTGTTGTTTCGAGCAAACTGCCCTTTTCACAAATAACCCATCACGCAGCAATCATCGTTAGCTGTCCGGGGCCAGCTGTTACTGGGGCGTTCACTGGACAATTATGCAAATTGTGGAAGAATCGTTTGGCCAAAACAATTCCTGACCGCCGGAAGACTGCAAGTTCAGTGTCAGATGTGGATTTACTGCTACTGGTGGGTTAAGCTGTTATGATCCAAATACCTGTTTTAGCAAAATTAGTAACTTTTCTTTCTCCCAGCTTTCATCTCATTCCTCACCGTACTACGATTTTCAGCGGCAACACATTCTAGTCCGCAAAATCTGTTACTGTGAGAGAGCCAGTTTCCCACAACTGAAACATATTACAAGTGATTCGTTCATTCGTTGCGATGGTAAATTGGTACTGGGAAATGCAAGCGAACAAATCTTTAGCTTGCTTGTAAGCGGTCGTCGAAAAAGGCAGCTATCGGCAGTTTTGCCAGCTGCAGTTGCTGTTGGCATTTGCTTTTGCTGCTAGCTACTTCCCGATGCCTTCGTCTCTCATAAAGTGTGAAGTTTCAACTTTTGACTCTGTTAATGCTGGTCATTGATTCTAGAAGAAATCAGGAGGGATTTTACTGTGCCTGTAGTAGATGATGTAAAAATCGTGCACTGGGATCTGCAGTGTATTTTGATCACATATACGCTGCTTGCCACTTATCCCGATGTTTAAGCCTGATAGAATAGGAGCCATAACAGAGCATCAAACTCCACGAAGCTTTCAAATCCAGTGATTGCCCGGGGCAAAATATGTCTCGATTTGGACTGTGTTTAGGTTAACCCGACGATAGTGCATCAATTACGCTGTGAATACGCAAGAATGAGGATAAGTAAGGATATGTACTAATGACATTCATGGATTGTATGCGCCTACTGACGCTGTGGCATGTGGCACAACAAACGACAGCATTTTATCACATCGCTCCTGAAAGACCGATCAGCTTATCAATGGAAGCCTGCTCGCACGAACGACGACCGCTCAGCGATGGCGCAATGATTGTTCGCTTTTTTTCATCGTTTACTTTCTTTAAATCGAAAGTTTACTGATAGGTTTGCGCCGCGAGAAGTAATGCTGCCACCAATGGGTAGAGGATTGAGGGTTTGAGCCCGCTAGTGAACTAACTAATCCTGAGACTCACTTGTTCGCTCCAGTGATAAACTGGTATTACTGTATACTAATGAGTCATATTCGCTATCAGCTTGCTTCTAAGCAGTTTTTCAAAAGGGGAGCGTTGACAGCTTTTCCAGCGAGTGGCTGCTAAGCCAAATGCTATCACTGGGCCACTTTCCAAATGCCTCAACCTCTCACAAAAAGTGGATACAAAGGTAATTTTGATTTATTTTAAAGGAAAATTAGATTCAGTTGGAAAAGGAAAAAGTGCTTATGCAGATTTCGAAGTTCAATTTGCCAGCTGGCAACTAGGAAAAACGTAAGCTTTACTAGGAAAAACAGAGTTAATCCAGGATTTGATTTAAAAAATGTCATTGGAATTTTTTTAGTTTTTCCCAGAAACAGTTCGATTCTGTGGTTCCTTTTATACGAACAAACAACGAAGCGATTATGACAAAGACGTCAGACGTTGCGCAAATCTCCAGTCCACCGTGCTCATTTCATGGCACGAAACTGAAAGTCAAAACACATGCGAACTCGAATACAAGGTTGAATTTCGGTACTAAAAAAACTAGATTTGTTACAAATCCAACTGAAAAGTGTTTACCCGTTAATGTATCAGTTTTTCGCTTGTTAATTTCTAAGGTTTCAGAGAAGACCTTACTTGCAGGGATATCAGCAAGAGTACCGGATATCGCCAGATTTAGGATATTATATTGGATGCCAGAAGGCTATTTCACAGTACATATCACAGTTGGCAGTCAGGGAAGTTTCACCAACGAATATTAGCAACGAAAATTGTCCGTTGAGGAAGTTACCTACAACTTATGAGGTAGCATCCATTTCCTTTGACTGTTTTTTGAAAATTTAAGTATTTCAGATAATTTTTAAAGGGCTCACTAAATTTTTGTCAAATTTGCCGCTGGAGTGCTTCTTTTTAGAGATTTTTCAGCATATCAAATTTTTGAGCTCAAATTAAGCAAGAAAGAAGGTTGTTTTCACCTTCCTGAATCTGTTCTGGAACTAAGCTTAACCGACTTTTACTGTACTGGAGTTGAATCGCTACGGTTATGTGACAGTTCTTTTTTGAATTTATGAATTCTCAGACAGAAAGTAAACTGTCACCATCGTTTAGAAGAATCTGAGCTATGTATTTCAGGGTTATGTGGCATGTGATTTTGCGCGTGGTAAATGGTACGAGATGTTTTTCAAAAGTGCGATACGCTATGAAATTCATCATAGAAAAGTTTATCGGACATTTTGGTCCAATTATTCCAGTACTTTTCTCATCAGGCCGAATTTCCTCATCAAAACAAACGCTACGGAAACGGAGTGGCTGTCAAAGCTAATTTCGTTGAGAGTCAGGTAAGTAATGTTTTAACAGTATATCAGAACACAATCTAGAATGTTGAAAATTTAGACTCAGCTGAAAACCACCTCCGTCCTTGCTCTCTCTGAGGCACAGAAGTACACATAAGTAGCCCGGATGGTATCGCTGACCGACGGTTACGAGTATAATTGACCTGGATTTTGCTAGACCGGATAAACAAGGCCATGAACTTGAAACTTATTTACTCCATACAAGTCGTACGACCAGACTGCCTTCTTAAGTGATTCCTGAATCTTTTATTGTCGATTATTGTGCTTGAAGTAGAGGTGGTGGGGAGACAAGCATCTGTGATGGCCCACCATAATGAGGTCATGACCCTCTTAATTAGCAGTTAATTAGTGCACCTAAAGTAAATAGGTTTTGTTTACCTAAGTTAAGAGTTGTCGGCGAGCATAATGCAATGGAAAGTAGCTCCGTTGTTACAGTATTCGACTCAATTACTGAGAAGAATAATCCCTTTAGTAATAGTTCGTTCATTCCGATGATAAATTGATACTGTCTATAGGCCAAGGAGTCAAACCCGCCATCAGCTTGCTTATAAGTAACCCTCGATAGAGAGATCCATTGATAGTCGTGTCAGTAAGCAGTTGCTTTTGGCTTTTTCTATTGCTCGGGCATTTCCCGAGAGCCTGCTCCCCTCAAAAATTACGAAAATGGGAGAGGTCATGGCTATGACTTCTTAATTTAAGAATTAATTTAAACAATTCGGAATAAACTAGGCCATTGAATTGTGATTACGCCGAGTTCCTGCTAAACGTGGATCCGAGCTGGTCCAGACCGATCTCTCTTCTCATCCGGTATCGTATCCGACAAAGCACTCACGTCCATTATGTGAATCTGGTATCCAATCGAACAGTAGAAGGGTGGATGATGGATACATTTGTTTTGGTTCCATCACAGGCAATACACGAGCTGTGCTATCAGGTATGCCGATTGTTGTGCTTAGCTTCCAGTTTGATCTACAGCTATCCAAATATCTGCTTAATTCCGCTGGTGTGCAATTTCGATTTTGATGAGAGCGGCTAAGCGAAGTAGCTTACTTCGTGCTTCTGCTTTAGGAGCAGTTAGGCTACTGCTAAGCCAAGATGACGTCTGGCATGCCTGCACTTCTCCAAAAAAAAGCTAATTGAAAGCTATGGAGGGCTTTGGGATAAGGCTTCAGGATCAAGATAATCTTTTAATATCATTATCATCATTATTATTACTGTTACAATTTTATCATGTAATAAAGTACAACGCCACAATAAAGCTAAACGACAGTCCAGATTCCTTTATTTTCAGGAAACTCTAATAAAGTCTAATTTTTTTTTCTTTGTAAATTAATAATGCTTTATACTTGACAACCATCTATAATAAATTAAATATTATACTTGACATCCATGAGAAAGTGAGCGATTATATTATAAAGCAATGTCCAAATCAGCTGCTCGTTGACACGGTGTTCCTTCTTTTTTTTCTTGATTTAGGCAAACTTTCCCAATTCATGGTATAATTTTTTTCACTTATCCTAACAGAAACCCATTTTTAATACATTCTTATTCGCATCTCTCGCCTCAATCATATGTAATTCCTTCTCCCCATGCTTACCAAAATTTCCCTCACAATGAGTGCTCCGTATCTCCATCTGCCTCACTTAATTTCTTGTTAACCTTGCTTAGTCCACAGCTGCAGTTCACTGAAAATGAAAGTGATTTTGAATGTCACGACAGCAAAAAGAGGCGTATTTATGTTTCCCGTTTTTTTGCAAAGTACATCACCAATTCAGATTATCGGAAGAAACACGCTCGCAGAACAAAAAGCATCAACAACGTTCTGGATTTTTTTTTTTTGTTTAATTGATTCAGCACATGCTCAATAAATTTTACTATCGTCTTGTAGGCGACGACGGTGTAAAAGTCAAACAATTAAGTGCAAAATGGTTAACACAGTGAATGGCCTGCCGAAACTCATGCACCACAAACACATCGGTTCCAGACTTTTATGTGATGAGGCAATGACGTACGAATGGGAAATGTGATCAACAACAAAAGTAGAGGAGCAGTCGTTGACTGTTGCTGACAGAAGCAGAGCATCCATCCTTGGATGATGGAACAAGGAATCCTTGGATGATGAAGCAAAGAATCTTTGAATGACGGAGAAGAGAATCCTTGGATTACGAAGCAGAAAGTCAAAATCCTTTAATGGTTAAGTTAGGAGTTCTGGGATGATCAAGCGATGGATCCTTGGATGCTGCAGCTGAGAATTCTTGGATAACCTTCGTGGTCGTAAAGGATACCCAGACTTTTCTACGGATGAATGGCATGCAATATGTTGCAAATACAAGGGAAAGTAAATTCCAATGAACGGGGCATTTTGTTAGCTCAGTTGATAAGCAGTGAACTTCGCGCACACTGGTAAGTGGCACCACGAACTCAAAATAGAAAAGCGAGAAGCTCAAAATAGAGAAGAATAGAGAAATTGCCAAATGTATCGAAACAGCTGTCGTGAAAGTGAAAATGAATACGAAAGAACGTCGACTACGCTCCTACTATTGTGTTAATTGATGATTGTATCGTTATTACTAGCCGCTCTCAATTAGCTGTGGGCGGGATTGTGTTTGAAGTCAGGTTAGAAGGAGCTGTTGATCTCTGTCCTAAGTCAGTTTTGTTTCTCGAGCGATTGAGACTTGACTCGTGTCGCGTTTCTAGTGCCCTGTCGATTGTTGTGTTGTGGATATCGGCAATTATGGCGTTCGCTTGTAAAGATATTTTGCGAAACGAAGTTTTGATTGAAAGTGAAAAACATACTACTCGAATCTCTCTCCGTCTATTCAGTTTTCAAGTACAGCAGCAGCTGATCAAAGTACCAAAGAAGTAGAGCTAAGATTAATGATTGGAAAACAGCTTCTAAACAAATTTACGTGCTTGGGTAACCATGTCCATTGAAGCAAACCATTTTTTCGCTGAGTGCCCAGAGTAGCTAATTGCATAACCATGCTCGCCCAGTGATGCGTGTTGCTGTTTATATTAGGTTATACTCTTGCGTAAATGAACGCTTCTTATACGGAAGCAGTGTGTTTTCAGATGAGCTGGGAGCCGTACGAGCATCACCTGGAGCACTGTATCCCATTTCAAATCGATGAAAAATGCTTGCAGAGAAGCAACGAAGCACACTCGCTCACGCATAACAAAATACAGCTTACAACAGCAGCAGCAGCAGCAACAGCGCTAGCCTTTCTGAGCCTCACTGCCTCGCATTAAACTGAATGTTAAATGATATCACTTATTGTAAGCCTCAATCTTTCACATAACTGCCGATTTTGACTCATTTTGGTGGTATATCTCTAGGATTTGTTCACTGGATTAGTCCTGGTGTATGCCAGGAAGTCTGATCCCCAGCATCAGCTTGTTTGATCCCCAGCATCAGCTTGTTTGATATGTAATCCTTGAAAGATGGAGTCATCGACAACTTTGCCAACGGACGGCTGCTGTTGATATTTGCTACCAATCAGATTACTTCCGAGTGTTTTTGCTGCTTGTTGAAAGCGACTCTGTCTTTTTGATTAGCGACGGAAGTGATGCACTCCTCTCTTTTATGCTGAGGAGATGCCAAAATGAAACGTTTGCACATGAGAAAACAAATTTGCAAGGCGAAAATTTGGCTGTGGAGGGAAGAAACTCGAATCTGAGGAGGCTAAAATTTTATCAGAAAGTTCCACGATTTAAATGTAGCGAGATGACCGCGAAAGGTTGGGAAAAATAGGAATATTTATACACTATAGAAGTTTCTAATATAGATGATACTGTAGCACGAAAAGCACTGATGTACTGGCAGCATCATGTGGCGCACCTAAGATCCTGAAAGACTAAGAATTTTGATCCCGTCCTCAACCATATTGTTACAGTTCGTTTGAGGAGGTCCACTAACACAAGATGCAGGAATATTCCTAACATATTGTACTACCAAATCACCATCGAAACGATTTAAAGACTCCCGGAGAGATTGATCGTCCTAGCACCGGCGTCGAACTTTTTTCCTAAATGATTCCTAAGCAGTACCGTCTGAGCTGACTGGCCTTCGGTAGCTTAGAACACGTTTTCGACTCGACTTTAACCCCCACACCATTAACGTTTGCTACGCTTAGTATGCTAACTGCTGACTGAGAACGAATGTCCTACTTGCTATTTTTCTATTACTTTGTCTTCTGTTATTCTATTTTACTAGCATGCTTTAAGTACAGAAAATTGGCTACAGGAATACATTGCCTTGCAAACCGCAGTGTACCACGTCAGCGTCTACTTCCCCCGTAAGGCATTCACAACCATTTTATTCTATATTTCCCTTGCAATTCCCGATTAAGAATGAAACAACCCCTTCGCTTCGCAGAGCTCCCTCCCCTGTTCGTCTGCATTTCCTCCTTCCTCCATCTTTTCGAATCCCTCATTTATTCTCAGCTTGCAGTGCGTTATCACTGTGCATAATTGTAATGTACACAAATAAAAGGAGTCCTGCGCTTTCCTTCTTCCAAAATGTCGTCGGTCGGCTTCCTTTGATGTTACACACATATGCATACAAATTTGAACAGGGCAGTGGCGCAGTGTAAGAAGCCCAGGAATGCCAGCTTTTGGTATTGTATGTAAATGAGCGAACAGCAGTACGCGCACTTCAGTGCTTATCTGTGTGCTTGAATACTCTTCCACGACATCAAAATAGGAGCATAAAAATTTTTAAAGCATTTCTGAGAGAAAACATCTGGAACATTTACAGAACTACTGCTCAAAATAAAAGCATTTTCGAAGAGATATTTCACAAAAGCAACGAATCTAACAACATTCCTTTAATTAACGAAACCCACACCAATCATCCAACATTTAGTCTTTTTGGGAGACAAAACGAATGTCAGGATCGCTAGCAGGCCAATCGCCAAACGAAGTAGCACTGGTCAAAGCAACCACGAAATTGCCAACTACAGAATTGGAGAAACAGACTATGAACTAACAGCTAATTCACGTATACCAAGTTGTTTTTAATCCAGAAACTTCTGCTTTGTGCGTTTAGTGATCAGCGTAGACCAAGACAGCTGTCAATGGACCATAAGGGTCTACTCAAAAACCTACGTGGGTTTACGCGTACGCGACGACATCAGAATAGGGCAGGATGGAGAGGTTGCCAACTGCATCGATGGCGAGAAAGAATCCGAAAAAGGAAGTAACCAAAATGGATATCCTTAACATGGTCTCAAAATTTCTCTCATGGCAAGCCTGACATTACTATCTTTTTTATTTTATCAAAACAACCAAAAACACCCTTTTTTCTCTGACTATAAACGGGGATCAGCAAAATAGTTTGCACGATTGGTGCGAACATTTTACCGAAAAGTGACCACGTGAAGTAATCACATTCTCCATCATCTGCCTTATTCTCCACCACTTGCGCCCATCATAATGCATCAAATATACCAAGACTGGTCGGGATATCATTGTGGGTATCTCATGTTAATGATGTTACTGGGATGCTCTCACACACCGAGTGCAGCTATAACAGATCCTTTGGTTCTGAGCTGCGTCCACCTAAAGCACAAAATTTGAACAAAGCGAACAATAACAGCAAAAGTGCGGCAGTGACGGGATGGGTACATTACTTACAGCAACAAACTGGACATTTCTAAGTGAACAATGTTTTGCATACATTAATATTATTAAGGTATAGTTCGTTTTGCTTGCAACGGACGGCATGCATCCACAAAGCTGCACATTCCACGGAAAGAGCGAGGGATTTTCCTTTTCAGATGCTGGCACACGACTTCAGCTGAAGTTGTCTCGGACGAAAAACATTCCCCTAGCCCTTTACGAAAATACTGTTGCTTTATTCACAGTAATTTTAGTCGCGCCATATTTTGTAAAAGACTGTTTCATCAGCAGCTCTGAAGCAACTGGAACCATTTTGATAATACTAAAATTAAAAAATTTCAATTAATTACAATGGGAGGAGAAGGCACAAAAACACCTTTATGGCTACTGATGGCTTCCTCTTTCAAGAGTTGCTTAGTAGCGAGCTGATGTCTGCCAGGTTTGAATCTCTGATATGAGCCAGTACCAATTTACAGTCGAACGAATGTGTGAACTGTAGAAAAAAGGCTAGCAGCCACCATCCCCGAAGGTTGATTAAGCAGCCGTAAAAAAAGCTAATTTCGAGGGGACGAAAGGAATATCCGAACAAATGCAATGCAGATTCATCAGGAGCTGCCAAAATGCGTTTGTACAAAAAGTAAAAACAAGAAAGGTTCTGGAGCAAGGATACCCGAAGAACAATTGGACGGAAAAGCGTCACACTGGAATAAATGGTAAAGACAACTTTTCCAAAACTTGGGTGCGCGTTCGCCAAGCAGAGTATATAACTGTAAAGATATGCAGTGGCAGCAAAACAAGAGAAACAAGAAAAGCTACAGATGATGTCATGGATTGTTGCGCAACAATGGCACTTCACATAATAAGAAATTTGAATATTTTCGAAAAAAGCAATCACACAAAAGCGCATCGAAGAGAAGTAAGAAAACAATACGATCGACGCAAACTTGATAAGTAATAGAATATACATGACTGGGAGCGAATCGAGGTAGGAAGCAAACGGATTCATTGAGGGATGATCAGAGAGGCAAAATACCACGAGGTGAGTAGCAGTCAAGTCTGCGAGTTGTGGAAAACCCACGAAAAGCCGTCAAAGAAGATGCTGTTGCAGAGAATTACATACTGTCTACCGGAACCAGACAAGAAGGACCTTTTTTTCTTAAAAGGATATGTGCTAGAAATGCTTCAAGGTTAAGCCAGAAGCACAAAGGCCAGAGGTGTAGTGATTTAGCATGTCGATCCCGGATATGAAAACGAATTGTTCAATATTTGCACGGAATGCTCCGTTCACAACATTGTAGGCTGCTGCTCCACCGCGTGTTAACAGAGTAGTTCAAGAAACCATATTAGAAGATCTAAAGACCACCGGAACCGCCGCGATGTGATACAACTAGAAGCATAGCGGGGGGAAGGGGGAGGGGGAGGAAAATTCACCTGTTTATTTCTCAAGAACATTTTTTGATCGGGCCTATGACTCAGGCAGTTCCAGAAAAATAAAAGGAAAAAAGGAGGTCACTATGTAGAGGGTGTAGTAATCAAGTCTGGGCAACAAACTTTAGTGGTGCCCAATCTTCCCTTCTGGAATCTGTATGTAAACTTATCCCAGAGACCAACAGGGATTATTTGTACTGCCAGATCAACGGTGTACTACAGTACAAGAAAAGGCAAAATTATGAGCAAAATCGAGGGATTTTTGCGAATTTTTACAATTACTTATATTAAAATTGGGAAAACTTTCCTGATATTTCAATCTCTGTGAGAAGCTGAGGCACTCAGAAGTAGCTCGAACGGTATTAGTACACCACCAAGAACTAATAACTAGCTGATAGTTAACTTCTACGAAAGCTACCCAACTGCACTTTATCAAGGTTTTTTTGTCGCTGGAATGTACCAGTTTACCACTAAAATAATTCATACAGAGATTGATTTTCTCACTAGCGGGATCGAACCAACGAATTCAGTCTGAGGCTGGTGCTATCTCACACTAAACTATGCCCGTCAGTAGCTTAACTATATACTTCGCACTATATCATATGTACATAGTTATTCAATTTTACACAATTTTTGACTGTTTCCAGGCAGCACCGGCAGCATTTTGGGCTGCAATGACATGGCTTGACGGCATCGAAGATACAGTCATCGGCATGTAGTGATAATGCGGCGGTGGTGCCGGTGGTGGATTTGCAGCCGGAATAAGCGGGCGATTTGCCGCTGCAGAAGCAGCAAGTAAAGCTGGATTATTGAGCGAACCGGTGGCTCCGGCGGAACCATGTTTCGCGGGAGCCGTGGAACAAAGGCCGCAACAGATGGTTCGTTGCCAGGAATGAAACGTTTTCGAGGATATCGTCCACATGCCCGTCGAAATGCCAACTGCTATCGACATGAACAGGCTCAAAAAGTATATTTCGACCTGAAATGAAGTGCACGCATCCAAGCTGTTAGCACCAGATTTAAAAATTTTTAAAACATTCCAACTACCCCACTCATTCTCATCTTTCTTTCCTTGATTCTCCCATTTAATTCATATCTCTATGAATTTTTTAATTCTTTAATTCATCTTTAATTCACATCTTTAATTCATATCTAATATTCATATATCTTCATTCTAACAAGTGAACAAATCAACCAGGGAACTAGGATTCGCAGTGCGACATCTTCCAGGTCCTGAAAGCGACTCGGCTACCATCATCAGCAAAGGTGTAAATCAACCCCGGATTTTTTCTCCTATACTTGAGATAATCTTGGGTTTGGTAAGCTCAGCTTACACGAGTTCAGACATAGCTCCTAACATCGGAGTTGCCTCTTTACTGCAAAATGAAGGTAAGCAGGAACGGAAGAAGGCGGAAGGGAAGTGGGGAATTCGATTTCTACAACCTTAACCTGATAACTAGTGCCACAGTACCCTGGTACACTTGAAGTTAAAAAATGAGAAAAAAACTCGCTGTTTCATCCACATTTCTGTTATCAGAACTGGAAAAATGTAATAAAAAAATTTTCCCAAGCTGTTTAATAAAGTGACCAGAGAACAGTCACACTACCTGGATATTGCTCAGCCAATCCTAGCCTAGAAACCCAGGCTGGAACGCACCGGACGGGCCCGTGCGATCATGCGTTTTTGCACAGGACTTGAA